CCCCTTGCGCGGGGGACATGTTAATCTTCTCTGTATCGTTCCAATTCTAACGGATGTCCCGAAGGACCTCGGCCTCGGCAGCGCCCCACTAGCTCTTCGCGGCCCGAACAGCCTAACGGCCACCTCGCCTCACGCTACCGTGTACGGATCCGGCCCTCTTATAAGGCCGGGTTCAGACAGGTACACCCCCCCCCTCCATAATTTATGCATGTCACCCCGGGGGCCATGCTAATCTTCTAAGTACCGTTCCGATTTTTAACGGGTGTCCCAAAGGACACAGCCTGGGCCGCGAGAATGACTGGCCCCAGGCAGTTCCGAACGCTTGGTTTTGCTCATCACGGCCCACCATTTGGGTTCAAACTCAGTCTGCATTTCAACAGGTCAGGGGTGTACCCACTGAGCCAACCTCTTGGGTGTCTGCCACACCCATGGCACTGCGTCCTAAGGCCAAGCGGGGCGCGGCCCTGGCGCAGCCACGAAAACAGTTTGTAGTTGCACTTCAGGCAGACCCGCGAATGCCACACACCCCACATGGGCCCACTGCCGCCTTGCGTCTCAAAACAGGATGCGATAACAAAGGGACCACGATTAATAAAACAAAGGGGAAATAAGATAAAGATGAAGCCGAGGAACCGCGGGGTTGCTGGCACCTTGCCAGCCCCACGAATTGGGCCCGCCGCCACGCCCATAAGCAAAACCGAGGGGGATAGCCCCCCAGGGCCCTCAACCCCTCAGGCTTTCGCTCCACGCTACTCCGCCGACGCCCGCTGGCCTCGATCCCCGAACCTCCATAGTAACAATCCGTTGTCGTAACCTATAGGGCTATGCCCAAGCCTGAGACCAGGGCCCGCAGAGTACCATACAAGGCAGTGCGGCACAGCGCTTTGGGCCCACAAACCGGCTGCGCGACTCCCCAGTGTTCGCGCCGGCTTGCTTATACCGTGCCATAATTGCCTTGCGCGCCGTCCTACGACTCCCCGCTCACCGCACGAAGTCGCGCCGTCGTTGCCGATGCCGTCGTCGGGGTCGTTCTCCGCACGCGCGCTCGACTCGGTCAAATGTAGCCATCGAAAGAAAATATCCCATAGATCCTAGTTTAATCAAGAGTAACCAAAAATAAAAATAAAGGAAAAATTAAAATAAACCGACCGACGTTCGCGCCGGCTTCATAATCAAAGATAGAAGTGGAATCACTCGCACCTTAAACCTGCGCGCCCACGCACTCTCTGCCTCTAGACCTCATAGCCAACCTATAGTCTCCACACTACCGCAAGTCGCGTGGTCTTCCTAAAAAATCCGAACCGGCTTATTTTCTGCCACTTGCATAAAACAGGGCAGATACCCTTGTAAGGGTATTCGCAATGACACCGCCGTGAAAACCCCTCCCCCGTGAGACGATCCGAGGTGCGATCTGCGTCTGCAGATTCTCCTATAGAGAGTCCCTCGTATTTCAAGTACAAGGTCCAAAATTCTACGCTCGGGCTATAGTCTTTTACCAGGTACATCTCCTCTCTTATCCTCTTTTTTTTTTTTTTTTTTTTCCCTTCTTCTTCTTCTTGTTCTTCTTCTTCTTCTCTTTCTTCTTCAGCGTCTGTCTTCTCACTCCTTCCTCTTCCCTTAGTGTTATTTTTTTTCCTTTCTCTTATCTTCCTTACCGTTCGACGTGATCCCCATTCCTCTTTCCCTTTCACGCTCTTTCTTCCGGCGCTTTCGATTCTACTTCCTTTTATTTTCATCTGCCCTTTCCCCTTCACTCTTTGTCTCTAACCATGTTTGATTGCCCGATAGTTGACTCGCTTTTGCCTATGTTTGGTTTTTGCCCTTCGGTTTGCGCACGATGTTGCCTCTTTTGTGTTTGAGTTCGCATGCATTCGTTTGTCGGTGCTCGCTTTTGAGTTCGCTTTCGTATGCTTGTCAACGCTTGCTTTTGCCTCCTTTGCAAAACTCATGACCTCCCCCGTCTTCGTAACTTTGCGCCGTTAGTTTTCCTTGCCTTTATCAAGTCGTCCCTACGTGCTCACCTTTGCCCGCGAGTTCGTTTGCTCTGTCTCATCATTCTCCCCTACTTGAAGAACGTGCCTCCGAAATCTAGGCAAATTCACTCCCCACTTTAAGTAAAAATCTCTGCCCTGACAAATCCGAATTTATTTTATATATCTTTCTATCTTATAGCGAAAGGTTCATCCCCCTTTCTAGTTTAGTTGGTTGAATAACGTTTTCCCTCGCAGTAGGAGTTCTCGTAGACCAAGGTAAGCAGTTGCTCCGCTTTTACTTTTCTATGATGCTCACGTATAACTTAGGTAGTGTTTAAACGGGGACATCAAAAGTTTCGTGGAAAATAAAAGAAAAAACAAATATATATATATAACTGTATTAGTCCTAACGGCCCCGTACTGACACTTGTCAATCTTCTAAAACGAAAAGGAGCCCAACTTCTTACTAAATGTCAGATTCTTTTTCAAATGGTCACACGTTCGAGCCCCTGTAAATCAGGGGTGGAACCGAAAAAGTGGGGTCCTCCTTGGTTGCCACAAAACAGAGCTGGTCCGTGGGTAGGATGGACTCGATCTCATTGTCCTTGGCTTATCGATCCACACCTAAAACTATTGGGCTAGTTCTCACTTTCGGTAGAAGAGGAGTAGACTCACTGTATGTCGAGATTCATGCTGGGTCTTCTAGTGTAACGTGTCCGTTGCCTATTTTAAAGGTAAAAATCGGACCTACTTTAGTCGTCCCGGCCTGTTATGATAGTCAACTCATCCCTTTGGTCGCCCCGGCCGCAAGGTCGAATCTATATTAGTTTTCAACTCTCTTTCGAGTCTATGGCAGAGCGAACTGCTGGTTCCTTTATACCAACATGTTTGATACATGTGAACTAATTCATGTTGTTCCATCGTATCGTTTGGGTTCTTTTACTTTGCCTTGACTAATCCTCTGATCATGGCGGTCGAAGGTTTTAACTATTCTCCCTCGTTGTCTTATGCGTTTGTTATCACGGTCTATGCGTCCGCTCAATAGTCTAAAATTTGGTGGTCGGGGAGTCTGACTCAAGGTGTCATGCTAAAGCATCGCCACTTCTTACTTTAAACCGACTTTGCCATGATAGGTGATACTGACACTATGTCATTTGCAAAAACATGGCTAAATACCCTTGTAAGGGTATTAGGTCCGACAACACTTTGCACCTGCGACATCTTGGAGTCTCTGAGCAGGCGAGGTTGACCGATAGTTCATCTCCTTCTGTTGTAATCATGGTTATCTTGTCCTTCATTTTGGCTCTGATTTTTGGGTGTAAGCCAAATTTGACATTAATTAAAGACAACTTTTGACGGTCTGATCCGATAGGATGGGTTTTAATAACATGGCCAATAACCTTGTGAATTTGCGCTTCTAAATCAAAGAAGGAGTCAAGGGGAACTTTGACTGCTTTGACTCAGAAGGCCGCATGTTCCTCTTCTCGGTTTCTCACTTGAGCTTTAGTCAACCATGCCTTGAATTCAAGTCTATACTCCGTTGGCCCCAGGGTAATCGAATCATGCCCTTTAGTAACCATCCAAAAGACAATTGCCCTACTCTTTGCAACATATGAAACAATATTAGGGTTTTCAACCTTGTTTTTTTCCTCGGCTAACAAACTTTTAATTAACGCTGACCTACTGAAGTTTGGTATCTTCATAGGCCCTCAGAATGTCATCCTTCACTTTCTTTGGAAATAAACGAGCATCTTCCCTAAAAATTACTGTGACTACCCGTTCTTTTAACTAGTTGATTTTAATCCAGTTGATCGAGGAGTTTACTTGGAAGCGAACCTTTCTACCCTCGATTTTCATTTCCCTGGGTCAATATCAACAACGAAAATGCCCTCCTCATAACAGAGGCAGATAAGTTCCCGTACATGTTGCTCATCTTCCTGATCCAGACTTGGGTCTGGGGGAGGGAAGCGAGGTCCCCGATCGTTGGGATCAATAACGTTTTCCACTTCTATGTTGCTACTATTAGAGCACCAAGTTAATAGCCGTGAGAAGGAAGAGACAACACCAACTCATAATAGTCGGCGCTGTATAATTACCACCCAGAGAGACAGATAGGCGTCAACCAAGTTAGATTGCGAAGGAGGATATTAGTGATTAAAAAAATTGATCCCTACTTGCTGCGTGCACTATTATGTCAGAGCTTAGAAATACGAGTACTCTCACCGAGCTTGGAGCGAGGTTTCATGTCGGTTGAACACGCTGTCACCGACTGTCTCACCTACCACTTCATGAGGCAGGCCACTCGAGCATGGCGACCGGGGTAGGGACAATGCTACTTGAGCGTCATCATGGCGGTGAAGCTGCATAACGTCCAGTCATCATCAGGCCATAAAATTTCCTCACGTTCTACAGGAGTGTCTAAGGAGCCCCTAAGTCTAAGCCCCCGCTAGTGGGATCTGTGCCAGTGGGCAAGTCCCATTGCCAGCATTGAGTTTCCTCAACGCCTGAATCGGGAAGTGTTTGTGGAGATGTGGAGTTGAGTAAACTCAACACGATATCTGTACATAAACTCGTCCAGATTCAGGCGTTGAGGAAACCCAATGCTGCTGGTGGGACCTGGCCCCTGCCCAAGGATGACGAGCGAGAAATGGTCCCTGGAAAAAAAAACATCAACCACCCTGAACATCGTTCGCTCAGGGCATACTCACACTACTACGTTTTTGCGTATTTTTGGGCGGAACTGTGGACAGATACATCCAGGTATGGCGTGCATGCGGTCAGATACATTGATATACTGCCAGTGTGAGTACGCCCTCAGTCGGTAGGCTCTCTACATTGCCGACCGGCGTGAACAGGTTAGGTGTAGCGGGCTCCATCGCCTGCGCGGCCTGCCCGCCTTTTGCCAGTAGGCGGGCATTACGTACGGGCTTGACTATGAACAACGCGCCCCTGTCCCTTTTCCCATAGGTGACCCCCTCCCTAAAGTGTACCTATGCACTACCGTAACACTTGTGGAGGGTCGGATGTCGACGGACGACGAATGTGTGAAGTTACACGCACCGACCGATTGGCGGAGCACCGACCGATTGGCGGAATTGGAGGTCATTGTCATTTCCTTCATGACGCCTTGAAGGTTCGGAGGCTAAGTGTTTGTATGACACGTGGGAGGCAGGAAGGGAGGTAGGAAGATAGGAGCGGTAGGAACGGCACGGTCGTCGAGGGCACACAGAGAAGTCACGGTTAGTACACGGTACGGTACTGGTAAGCATAAGTATTGATCCAAAGCTAGCCAAGAAGAACGAGATCGTTTGTCGGGAAGATCGAAGATCCCGATCCGAGAGCGGTAGGACAGAATCTTGCCGCTTAAACAAACTAGAGCGCCAGGAGTGGGCAAACAGGGGCAGGCGACGTGGCGCGGCGTAAAGAAAAGTTTGCCAGACGATCAACCGATGATTATATGATTATATCGATCCTTCGGACACCAATCTGATCGATCGATCGGTCAATCAAATAATCAGGTCAACCAATCAATCAATCAATCAATCGGATCAACTCTCATTATCACTTAGTTAAGTTCACCTGAGGCCTTCTTCATCACCGTACTCGCTTTATCGTCGTCCTGCGCGCGCGCTCTCCCTCTTCTCTTGTCTTGTCCACCATAGCCACATCTCCATCCTCTTTTATCTCCTCTCGATCCGTTCTCTTCCGTCTCTTCCTGCTGAACATCATCATTGTTTCTAGGTCGATTGATTGAGATGTTTCGTAATCAGTATGACACGGACGTTACGACATGGAGCCCTGCAGGGCGCCTTCATCAGATCGAGTATGCAATGGAGGCAGTAAAGCAAGGCAGCGCCTCTGTGGGGTTGCGCAGCGACACTCACGTGGTATTGGCCACTCTAAAGCGCGCCGCATCCGAGCTGTCATCCTATCAACGCAAGATCTTCAAGATCGACGATCATCTCGGCATCGCCATCTCTGGGCTGAACGCTGATGGGCGCGTGTTGTCAAGATACATGCGGTCCGAGTGCATCAACCACAGTTTCGTGTACGAGTCGCCGATGCCCGTTGGCCGCCTCGTTTGCCAGGTGGCTGACAAGTCCCAAGTCTGCACTCAGCGGTCTTGGAAGCGACCTTACGGTGTCGGATTGCTAGTGGCCGGCTACGATTCCACCGGTCCTCATCTGTATCAGACCTGTCCGTCAGGCAATTACTTCGAGTACCGAGCTATGGCGATCGGGAGTCGGTCGCAGGCGGCGAAGACCTACCTGGAGAGAAAGTTCGACAGCTTTCAGTCGTGTACTCTCAAGGAGCTGATTCGACATGCGCTCTTGGCGGTGAAAGAGTCTATTCAGGATGGGGAACTGACTAGCAAGAATTGCAGTGTGGCTGTGGTTGGCAGAGCTCCCGGAGGAGGAGGAAAGGGAGGAGGGGAGATTGATAAATTCACGATCCTTGAAGATGCCGACATCCAGCCGTATATAGACATGCTAGATGCTGAAGAACTTCCAACAGCCGTGCAAGATGAAGACGACGAAGAGAAAAAGGATGCTCCTGCGGAGCCGGAGCAGCAGCACCAGACCCAGGATGGTGAAGCTGCTGGAGGTTCTGGCGATGGCGGACAAGAAGAGGAGGGAGGAGGCGAGGCAATCCCAATGGAAACTTAGCCAAACGCCTCGCGTTGTAGTAGGTGAATATAAGAAATCCTTGGTTTTGATGACGAAGTAAAATCATCCTGCTTTTTTTCTTCGCCCTCAGTTCCTCTTTTTTCTCCCGCCCGTAGCCTTCACTCGCTTTCGCCCTTCTCTCTCTCTCTCTCGTGCTTCTTGCCTCTAGAAATTTCGTACGCGAGAATTCGAGCGCCGTCGCAATCTGTTCTCTGACACTTTTTTTTTCTTCTGTTTCTCAGTCTCTCTTCCCTTTTCATGTTTTTTCTGTTTGAAATGGATATTTCGTAATTTTCTGGTGATTTTCGTCTCTTCTCTCTCTCTCCCTCTCTATCCATCTCTTCTCCTCTCTCTCTCCTCTCTCCTCTCTCCTCTTTTGTCCTTACTTCGTCTTCTCTCCTACCTATCCTTCTCTCTTCTTCTTTCTCTCCTCTCCTCTCTCCTTTTTTCTGTCCTTATCTCCTCATCTTCCCTATCTATCCTTTTTTCCTCTCTCCTTAGGTCGTGCGTTCGCGACTTAATTCCGTGTTATAGCTGCCTCTGAGGTTGCTGGGGAGGCATGGAGGCTCCTTCATTTCAAATTGAAAAAAGAGAACAACTGGCGCGTAGTAGTTAAGGCAATAATACTCGGTTCCCAGTTCCATCGTGCTGTGTCCAGCCTTTCCGCCTCCCTTTCCCCCAACCCATTACTTTCTCTCCTCCTTCCCTCTCTCCCTCCTCTCCCTCTTCTCGCCATCATCTCTCTGTCTTCTTTTCCCCCTCTGCCGCCTCTTCTCTCCCTCCTCTCTCTCCTCGGTCCCTTATCTCTCCTTCTCTGTTTGTGTTTTTTTTCTGTTCACCCGACCTTTCTGCTCTCCCTCTCCCCCGATCCCATTTCTCTCTCTCCTCCTTCTCTCCCTCGTCGTTCTCTCCTCTCCCTCCTCTCTGCCGTCTGTGACCTATTTCCCTCCTCTGTCCTTTCTCCTCGGTCCCTCATCTCTCCTCCTGTCTGTTTGTGTTTTTCTTGTCCACTCGACCTTTCTTCCTTCCCTCTCCCGATCCCATTTCTCTCTCTCCTCCTTCCGTCTCTCCCTCCTCTCCCTCCTCTCCCTCCTCTCCCTCCTCTCCATGCTCTCGCCGTGGTCTCGCCGTCCACATCCACCTTTCGCCTCTCTCCTCAGTCCCGCCTCTCCCCCTCCTCTCTGCTCTCCTATTTCTTCGCAGTTGTAAACAATTGGTCTCGTTCGTGACGATCCTGTCGTTGTTCGCCAGTGTCAGTCCGCTGGCCGTCTGTGTTATGATCTTGTGATTTCGTTTCTTGTATCGAGAATCACGAAAGATCTCTTTTTCTTTTCTTCCCCTTCGCCGCACCAGAACTTTGTGAAAATCATTTTTGTAGTCTCTTGTTAGTGTCTATTTCCCGTTTTTTCCCCAACTGCCCCCGTTTTTACATTGGTCAGCGCCGAGGGTACTTGTCTTCTCACTGTTGCGTTTCTTCTCCCTTCTTCCTGTCCATTGTTTCCACGAGTACAACCGGATACAACCTGATCATTTTTTTTTTTTGCATGATACGACCCGATCTTATGTACATTTGATTATGGCGAATGTGCATGACGAGACTATCAGGCGGGGCAATGCACGGATTTAAAAAAATAAAAATAGGTGTATGTAATCAGGAAAGAGAGTTGGCGGGAACCCGCTACCACAGTGTGCGACTCAGTTCTTCGTTGTCTCCCTTCTTCCTCTTCCTCTTCTTCCTCCTCTTCCTCTTCTTCCCTCCTCTTTCTCCTCCTCGGCCTTCCTGTTTGTGTTCGTTGCCTTCTTTTTCCTCCCTGTCCTCCCCCCCCGATCCACCTCTTCCCCCTCATTCTGCGCATTTTCCCCCTCCGGTCGTCTTGTTCCTTTTTCCACCACCTTGGGCAGCACTTTCTACTCTTCCCAGCCTCGCCCTTCCTCCTCTCATCTTCTCTTCCTGTTTGTGTTAGTCGTCTTCTTTTCCCTCCCCCAT